GAGGGGTGGTTTAATTTTATTTCCTCTTTTATTCTGTCCAAGATTGTAGCTTGGGCATGAGACGAAATAATTAGTTCTTATCAACCGAGGTCTGAACGGGAGAATGTTGACTGGGTTCGTGAATACGGCAGAGGTTAAGATTCTCCCATACAGACCGACCAAGCTCGGTTTATAAGATGTTTATAATATGCCCAAACAAGAAATCTCGTTTGCACTGTCACGCCATCAAAAATAAAAATCGTAACCATTCAATACATTAAGCCAAGAATCTGGGATATGATAGATGATTGATATATAAACAACCTCGCCAAGATTTAGGTCTGTGCGGTCTTTCATTCTCGCGTTATTCGGAAAAAGTGTTTCACCCAGATTTATAGAGCTTTGTATGGAGCCCCTTCCAAGGGGCACCAACATGGTGGCCGGAAAATACTGTAACAGAAACATCTGTCATTGAGTATTGCTATTGAAACGAAAATTTATAGCTCTAGAGCTCCGATATGTTGAAATTAATAACTCTTCTAATGCAAGCACTGTTCAGTTAGCAAAAACTTGAGCGATAACTCCTCTTTTGACCTACGCGAGTTTTTGTTGGGGTCGCAATTTTAATGTCACGCAACACATAAATTTCAAATTTCAAACGTGCTCTCTAACAAAACGAGAAACCCTGTCGAGCTAAACGTTGTTAAACGTCAATTCATTGGAGGGTCTTACATCTAATGAAACTAAAACTTCAAAGGATTGGTAATTTTTAGTTTTGGAAAATGATGACGTCACACGAAAACCGGCAATTTTAGCCGGTTCGTAAGTCACCTTCCATTTTGCCTGCGAATTGGGATAAAAAATCAGATCACAAGAAGGTCGAACTTACTGACATGTATGTTTTTAATTTCTCTAGCCTATTTTATTAACTCAAAAAATTTCTTATAGGCGTTTAAGTCACTCTTCGTGTTGTATTGAGTAATTTGTCCTCCTAGGCTGGCAAAACTTCCCAATTTTGTCGTCAGCTGGTGCTTTATATTGCACAATTTGAACTGAAATTTACCAAAGTTTGTTCAGTTTATTACCCAGGCAGTGAGGCCTGGGTTTAAATTTCGGCTCCGTTTT